TTTTCTGACTTATCACAGTAATCTGCCCACATCCACACAGTACTGGATATCGCACTGTCATTGTGCAACAGTAGTTATTCACCACTGGATTCTCATGTGTGGACAAGACAAAACTGTTGCAAGTGATTTGCTACAGGACAACGATCATGCAATGTCAAGTAATGTCTGGGTGCACCCGTGGAGCCACTCTGACTTCCATGAGGTATGGTGGGAGGTGGGGAGGAAGGAGGAGAATCCTGCTTTCAGGGAAAGATGTCAGTGATTTTTAAAAAAGGGGAATGTGTCTCACTAGCCAGTTTGGTGTAGTGGTTAAGTGTGTGGACTCTAATCTGGGAGAGCCGGGTTTGATTCCCCACTCCTCCACATGCACCTGCTGATGTGACCCTGGGTCAGTCACAAGCTCTGGCACAGCTGTCCTTGAAAAAGAGCAGTTTGTGTCAGAGTTCTCTCAGCCCCACCCACCTCACAGGGTGTCTGTTGTGGGGAGGGGAAGGGGTTTGTTAGCCACTCTGAGACTCCAAGTGAAGGGCGGGGTATAAATCTAATCTCTTCTTCTTCTTCTTATACTACAACATACATTTTTATCTCCCATGAAATATCTGGGAATTCTCAACTCTCAAAACATTCTGATAGTGACAAGTCGGCTTGAGAGATGTGTAGTACAGACAGTGAGGTTAAACAGTGGCGATGGGGAGGGGTGTCCACACGGTTGATCCAGGAGCCAATCTGACCGCTGGTCTCCCTTTCTCAGTCTCCTTTGTTCACACGACCTGAGGAGCAGCTTGGTATTCCCTCCCATGAATATACACGGATGTAGTTAAATCAGAACGGGAAATCCACGTGCGATACCCAGCAGGAGGCTGTTGCTCTGCACGTGGCTCTCTCTTGACAGAGCCACGTGGATTTTCAGTCTTCATGTCTCCTATGTCCACACCAGTGCTCCCTCTAAGCTGTGGAGTGTAGTGAGCAGGAATTCTACTTTGCGAGCGACCGGCATTCAAGTTGTGAGCCAGCGATCCGGCTACTGCATAAATCAGTTGGCTCTGGAGCCCCTCCTTCCTGAGCTAAGACAGAAATGTGTGAGCCGGAGGCTAAGAAACTGTGAGCTAGCTTACACTGACCCAGCTTAGAGGGGACACTGGTCCACCCGTATCCCTGCAGTTCTTCCTTTGCCCGGCAGCCTCAACAGGAAGGCTGACCAGACGAGGCCTTTGCATGGCTACCAGTGCCACCACCAGTGTTTCCTCTAAGCTGAGTTAGTGTGAGCTAGCTCAAAGTTTTTTAGCCTCCGGCTCACACATTTTTGTCTCAGCTTAGGAAGGATGCCTCCAGAGGAAACTAATTTATGCAGGAGCCAAATAGCTCGCTCACAACTTTAATGTCAATAGCTCACAAAGCAGAATTTTTGCTCACAAGACTCCACTGCTTAGAGGGAACATTGGCCACCACTTGAGCCATTCCTCTGGCTTCTCTACCTGAGGACGACTCAGAGGGTGCAGTGCTCAGCCACATGGGACCCACTTCACAGAAAAGGAAACGTGCCACAAGGAGCCGACTTGTGGCGCCGCAGATATTTGTTCCTGCTGAGGAAGAAAGGGCTTATGATGTCTGGAACCCCGTTGCTTTCGTCCTCTTGCTTTGTTACTGATCAGCACTGGAAAGCTTTTGGGCTGTGTTTAATAACAGATTTATTTCCCCTCCCCTCAGCCCTAACACTTTGCTTCTCTCCTCCTTCTCCTGTGTCCGTTTGTGTGTCTTACGTCCCTCATTGGTTTGTTTCCCCCTCTGTTGGCTTGTCTTCTCTTTCTTTTCCTTGCCGTGTCGTGGTGGTGCCTTTTTTGTTTTGTTTCCGTTTCAAAACCCAGCAGAACTCGTCCAGCTCTGCCTCCTCAGAAGCCTCTGAGACCTGCCAGTCAGTGAGCGAGTGCAGTTCCCCCACCTCAGTCAGCTCAGGCTCGACCATGGGGGCTTGGGCCTCCACCGAGAAGGTGAAAAAATGCTTTGTGTCTCTCTCAAACCACGTTCTTCACTCCTCCCTGGGGCTCTGTGGCCCCCAAACCGTGATAGTTTCCACACACTCGGAGGATGAGACTGTGCAGATGAGAATGGAAACCCTTCCCTGCTCCTTAAAAATTAACAAAAAAACACAGTCCTGAATTACAAAGCCTGTTCGCATGAACATATGAAAGCTGCCGCCATTTTGGGTCCCGTGACTGGTTTTGTGAGCACTCCGATACAGCACTGTTAATATGGGCTCCTGTATCCTGCAAGTGGATGAGCCAGAGGGAGGGAGGTGTGTAGTGATTGAAACGCAGGTCGGGGTGTTCCCAAGGCTATTTATTGCGGGGGGGGGGGCAAGTCCTTGTGGTAGCTTCCATGACTGTCCTGTTAACGATTGGCTCACTACAAGAACCACTTTGTCAAAAAGGATAATATTAATTTGAATTGGACTTTTCTAACAAAGATGAGGCCAAAAGTTTACACGTGGTCATTGGATGTCCACACACATCCAGGTCTAGGTTTCAACATCCTCTTTCAAAATCTGTGCCTTCCAAGATGATCTGGGGCCTAGAACGAAACCTTCGAACCACGGGTTGGAGCCAGAGAGAGGGATCGGATCCATTCTCATCTGGCGGTGCCACCAATTCCCTATTCCGTAATTCCGTCGCATGTCATTTTCTGAGGCTGAACTGCCACTTTCTCACTGGAAATGGGAACCTACTAACCCAGGCTTATTAACAGCTTTGGGGGAAAGGCCGCCTCTCGCTTTCAGAGCCTGGACTGAAACCACCACTTGCCTATTAATAACCGAGAGTGTTGGAGCTCTATGGGAAGTTCCTCCAGCTAGCCTTCGTTTGATCCAGCTCATTCGGGCTGACCGGTTGAGGAGAGACCTCCCCTCGTCCTGCATCGGCTGAGTAAGGCCATTCAGCCCCCGAAACTGACTCCGCCCCCCCCTTCGAATGTTGTTGCCTGTTAGAATAACAGTTAACGAAGCATGAGCCAAGTGCCGTATTGAGATGTTCCGTTGAAGGCGTGACCCCGACCCCTCTTTTTCTTCCCAGCAACGCATGCCTTGATTTCACCTTGAATTTTTTTCCCACCCACCCCCCATATTTGTCCTGTTTATATTAATTTCTCTTTTTTTCTTGTTTATTTTTCTTTTCGTTTCCAGTTGTCTAATGGGTTTTATCACTGTAGTTTGTCAAGTGGTCCATCCTTAGCCTCAGTTGGTGCAGGCCCCCTTCCTCATTTCCCGTCTGTCTCCCACGCATGGACCCGGGCTTCCTCTTCTACCCTCCTTCCAGACCACGGTCATTATTACACCATTGGGCCAGGCATGTTTCCATCATCTAAGATCCCTAGCTGGAAGGTTTGTGTTTCTTTTGTTTCTGTCACGCTCTCCTATCCATCCCCCCCCCCCCACCCCGTCCCCCCTTTCCCCCCCCCACTGCGGAATGTTACCTATCGAATCTCGATTGATTTTTTTCCCTCCTCAGCTTTTAATGCCGTTCTGAATTCTTGATCTGACAGCAAAGGATTTCTCCCGACCTTTCAATTAACTGATATACAAAACTGTAGAGTTGGATCCAGTGAGTCACGGTGCTTTCCTTCAGCCCAAGGGGCCTTTCCTTCGACACAGGCTTTTTGTTGAGGCCGGCTCCTTTGGCCAGAGGAAACACCATTGCCAGGATGTGACCCTTAGCGTTACATCCTTGAAAGGGGTTAGCACATTCCCAGATCTGTGCTCCATTTCTTTTGGGTAGTTCTAACTGAACTTCTGACACTCAGTTGAATAATTTTTGGTGTGGCCCAAGTTGAATGCAGATCGGTATGGCAGTTAATACAGAAATCTGCCAGTGTTTTATTTATGGGTTCCCCCCCCTCCTCCCACGAGCAATTCAGTTTGCACAGATCAATCCTTGAAAGGGAAGAATGATGGGTTGGCTCTGCTGAGGAAGGGAACTCATGTTCCTCTAACAAAAGAGAGCAACTAGATCCAACTCACCGTGGTCAACAGTTCCTGGTGGTTTTTATCCAGGCGTATATACACAGGGATCAAAAGGAACAGTCTTTCTGCTAGCACCAAACCCTAATGACAGAACTGGTGTGTTGCCTAGTCATTCTCAACGGACACGTGATATCTTACAGATGTGTTTGCTAGGCTTCCGAAAAGCACTTCAGACAGAGCACATTTGTTGGGAGAAGAAAGAGGACTGCCCTCTAGAGGAAAAATTGGATTTGGGTTCACAAGCTCTGGTCATTCCACCACCAGCAGAAAGGGACTTCCACCAGTTGAAGGGGGGTGGGTTTGGTTAATTTTTTTTGGGGGGGGGGCCAATTCACCTTTGCAATTGGCACTCCTTCCTCTGCTGACCTCAATAGCACGCCCAGCACTGTTCCCGTGAGTCCTCTGACCCTGAAGGCAGCTGGTCAGGCAGACTCCAAGGTCTGTACTACGTAAGAGGAGAGAGGCAGGAAAATTCTATTCCATGAGCAGAGCTTCATTCATTGCACTTGGGGGCCCCATCTCTCTCTCTCTCGCTCGCTTCACTTTCTGAAATGGGTCTGTGAGTATTGACTGGGCAGTTCAGTGATCCTGAAATTGCTTAACAGGAAGGTGCCCCAGTCTGCTTCCCTTTGACCGAGAGGAGCAGCATGGCGTTTTTAGCTGAAGATTAGACTCTGTGACACTATTTGACACCCAGGCCCATATAGACACAAGAAGCTGGAGAGGATATTTGCTCCTCGGTATTTTTCTGCCCTTGCTCAGCATCCTGCTTTTAAGGTCTGTTCAGGATATCGATGACACCTGCCAGGTCTTATTGCCAGTAGCTGAGATGCTTCCCTTTATCCCTAAGTTATTAGTAATAAGACATGATGCCATAGTTGCATTTCTGACGTGTGCAATCCAGCATTAGCATAGGGTTCCCATTTGCCTGCCTGTGGCAGGAGACCTCCCTGTAATTGCAGCCCTTGCAGAAACTGGGGCCGGGGGGGGGGGCACAATCACATTAGAAAGAACAACCAGGCCTTGGGTGCTTACAGGAAGTTCTGACCATAGTATTTCTGGTAATTCCTAGAGCTACCTGGAAATGACAGGGGTAAATCTAGAAACTGCCAGGAACTCTATGGTCAGAACTTCCTGTAAGCACACAAGGCCCGTTTTTTCTTTTTAATTCCCCCCCCCCCCAGGATGCCGCGCTCCCCTCCATTAGACTCCCACCTTTTTTGCGACTAAGGGGGTAGAGGCAGAGTAAAAGGAATGAGAGAAGAAATTAAGAAAGTTCATGGAACGCTCAGTGCTGGATTCTGATGGAGCTTCAGCCCACACCGAAAGGACTTTGTCTCTCTAGATGACTCCTAAAGCAGAGCTATACCCTTCTGTGACCGTTGCCTTCAGTGGATTTAGAAGGGTGTAACTCTGCTTAGGACTGCACTGTCTGAAAACACACAGCCTGGCCTGTTTTTAGTTCTAGCCTCAGTCGGCCGATCCAGGATCTCTTGCTGTGAACCCCAGTTCGGGTTGCCCAGACAATATAGCTCCGTCTCGGAAGCTAAGAAGGCCTCATTTACTCTGTTCTTAGGTCAGAGACATTCTTTGCTCCTTGAAGGAAGGGCTGCATTGATGAAAAGAGGTCTTTTACTAATCTCGGTGTGTGTGTGTGGGGGAGAGGGTATGAATTAGACCCCCTCCCTAGGAACTAATAGGAATCTTCACCACCACCGAACCTTAAGGGGTTCCATTGAGCTTGACACCAGCTGCAAAGGGGGAAAAAAAGAATCTATACTTCATTAAGTATTTCCTTTTGGCAGTCCCGGAATGGAACAGTAGCAAAGACACGAGGAGGACAATACAAGACAATAAAATTCTCTCCATGCCGCTCTACCTGCTGATTTGCATTTCCTTCCCCATGCAAGTCCGTCAGAGCATACACAGCAGCTTACCAAAAGAGTTATGGGAGGGAGGGACACAGTATGAAAATCAACTTGCAGAGCAGTTTAAGATTGAGGAAGTCAGATCCCCCCCCCCCCGTTTTGAGGAGCCAATTTAATCTTAGGGTTGCCAAGTGTATCTTTGCCGGGAGCAGGGGGCTCCCGGCCGGCGTCTTGTGTGCGCGCTGCACGCACGTCACCCGGAAGTGACGGGAGGACGCCAGGCACGCTGGGGGCCGTGGCCCCGCCCCCAGCGTGCCCGATTCATTTCTGGGTGACGCGCACGTCGGGGGGGGGGTTCCCCCGGGGGCCCGATCTGGCACTGCCGGGGAATGGGCCTCCGGGGGGACTTGGGATCCCTATTTAATCCACCTTTCTGTTAAGGTTTTCAAGGTGTTTCCAGAGCTTACAGCACACCCTGGTAGCTACCTATATCTGAAAAAACCATTCGTTCCCCTCTGTCTCTTGCAACTGGAGACCGGACAGTAGTCAGTACTCCATCATGATGTAAGCCCAAACCCAGATGGGATAGGCTTCCAAACCATCCTCTCTGCCTGAAGACTGGGATGGGCGGAGGGCTTTGGGTGGCAGCCAGACACATAGTTCTGAGAATAGAACAGGCCATCATCGTGGGCTCTCCCCGTTCACATGCCTTTTACAAGCATTTGGGTTGAGGCAAACCATTCTCTTTACCCGAAGATCAGGGATGGAAGGGATGTTTTGTGGCAGCCAGAACGTAGTTCTGAAAAGAGGACAAGCTATTCACGTGCTTTAGCCATCTTCTGGTGAGGCAGAGGGGGCTTTCCAGAAACGCTCCCGGGCTTGCAAAAACGCAGGTTGAGTTTGCTAGCCTGCGCCGCTAATGCCGCATTTCAGAGCAAGGTTGGCCCCACCGCCACTTAGCCAACGACGCCGTTCCCGCATGAACAGGCTCGGTCCCTTTTGCGCTGTTGCCCCTGCAGCAGAGTCCACGTGCCCTTAAAAACGCGACTCTTAAAAAAGAGGCGCCTCAGTCTGAGGGGAAAGCTAGAACAGTATTTCCTAGCCTGCTGTACAGAGAGTGTGTTCATGATCGGAAGTAAAAAATTTCAACTAATGGAAATTTTTCCCTAGGATTGGGCTAAACCAGGTCCTTATGACCAGCCTATGGTAAACACTTTGCAACGCCGCAAGGAAAAACGAGACGCGGACCCTGCTGGGGGAGGCCAGAATGGACCGCCTCTGCCCACAGAGGAAGCCCAAAGACCCCGGAGCATGACGGTGTCAGCCGCCCCAAGGGTGAGGCTTTAATTTTGGATCCTCTGGCGGGTTGACATGTTGGTCCCGAGCGGCTTCAAACCATCCCTCGCCCTAACGCTGAGCTCTGCAGCTTCTGAGTTTCACGGGTCTCTCCTGCTCCAAGAGGCCTTTCTGCCAGAAGTTTTTCTCAAAATGGAGGAAAGCTTTTGCTTCACCTGCAGCCTCACTGCCTGTCTGTCTCAGTAAGCAGGGCTCTTTTTGTAGAAAAAGCCCAGCAGGAACTCATTAGCATAATAGGCCACACCCAACAGCAGAAATTCATTAGCATATTAGGCCACACCCCCGATGACACAGCTCATTAGCATATTAGGCCGCACCCCCATGTTACCAGAAGTGCGGTCATCCAGCCACACCCACCTTTTGCTTCTTATTCTGTTTATACCCTGTTTGTTGTCCAAACCCAGGGCTTTTCTTGTAGCAGGAACTCCTTTGCATGTTAGGCCACACACCCCTAACGTAGCCAATCCTAATGAGTGTCTGCTGTTAGGTGTGGCCTATTATGCAAATATTATCCTGCTGGGCGTGGCCAACTCAGGAGCCAGCCGGAACTCCGTTCCTGTGCGTTCCTGCCCAAAAATAGCCCTGAGTAAAAGCATCACCTGAGAACCAGCTCAGCGTCCCAAATAGCCCAGACTAGTCTGATATCGTCAGAGCTCAGAAGCTGAGCAAGGTCAGCCATGGTTAGTATTTGGATGGGGGACCACCAAGGAAGCCCAGGGTTGCTCTGCAGAGGAAGGCGATGGCAAAACCTCCTCTTCCCGCCTCTTGAGTTGAAAACCCTAGGATGGAGTTCTCCATAAGTCGGTTGTCACTTGATGGCGCACTTTACCTTTAAGGATCAATCCAGATGTGCGGAAATACAGTTGGATCCCACCAATCCGTTGACCTCGTGAAGACGCCTCCGGCAGAAGGAGGCTTTTCCCCTGATGCAGAGAGGCTATCTAGGATTATCATCGGGGGGAAAAGCCTCCTTCTGCCAGTTGTGCTCCCGCTAGTGCAGTGGATCCGTGGGATCCAATCCGTAGTATATAATGAGTCTTCCTTAGCTGCGCTTGGCGGAGGATTCATGTTGGAATGCTGTCCGGGGGTGGGTGGGGAGCTCCCTCCATCTGTCTAGCTTGATTTCGGAGAAGGCGACTGTCCAGTTAAATCAGGTGTCCCAACATTTTCGAGGCTGCAGGCGAATTTGGAATTCTGAGAAAGCATTGGTGGGTGCTGCCCCAGGAGGCGGAGCCAGCCACAAAAATGGCTGCCACTGCTTACCTTCAGTCACAGTGAAGGTCCTTGTGCTGTGGGGGCTGCTCCTGCCAAAGCAGTGTTTTTTAAGAATCTTCACAGCTGCTCAGATCTCCAGTGGCCAATTGGAAGACTTGCAGGGCCGAAGCCCCAACCTGGCCCCGCCCAATTTCTAAAAACACTCGTTCGGCGCCAGGAAAGGTGTTGGCGGGCACCACGTTGGAGACCCTGAGGTTAAACCTTTGCCCCCTTGATTTTCGGTATTCTGGGACATGATCCCTGAGAGGCTATGGGGAGATAGCCAGGGAGTTGGCAAAGGAAGGGGCTACAATTTTCACCACACTCGAGGGTTGTTGCCTTCCGAGTCTGGAGCCCAGAGGTTGGCAGGGCTTCTTAATTTAGCCGTGTGGGTTGTTATTTGGGGAGAGAGAAGAGCCATCCTCGGACACTCTGATAGCACTACGTGGCTGAACCTTGTGGATATCCTGGGACTGGCCAAGCAGGAAAATGCAAGGGGTCTGTGAAAGCTTCGGTATGTCACTTTGCAAAGGAGACTCGCGTGAGGTCAGAAAAAGGGATTGTGACCGCAGGCGGCTCCAGAGATCTCTGGGGTTGGCCCCGACGGTCCTGCCCCAAAATCTAATGAGCGGTTTTGGTTGTTATTGGTAGCAAGGAGAGGAGATGGAAGCCTGTGAAGAGCTGGCCTTGGCTCTAACCCGGGGGCTGCAGCTGGACACCCAGAGAAGCAGCCGGGACTCCTTGCAGTGCTCCAGTGGCTACAGCACCCAGACGACCACCCCCTGCTGCTCAGAGGACACGATCCCCTCCCAAGGTAAGGAATGGAG